GCGACCTTGTCTGGAAGTTTCTCAGCTGCATGACAGGAGCTCGTCGTCAGACCGCATGTTTTGACGCGAACAGGAAGCGGCACAGATGAGACGCACGATGCTGCTGCCGGGCCGCTCTCCAGTGACGTCAGCTGTTGGTCATCAGCGCTGTCTGACTCGCCTCTGTTGTCAGGAGGAGGTGTGATTAGTCAGAGACAACACGTCAGGAAATGAACCATTCACTGTGTCACGTGTACTCTTAGCGAGGAACATCTTTAAAGACTGAAGGAAACTCCTGATATAAGTCCTTTTAGAATTAGATAGTGTAGAGGAGCTTTCTGGACATGTCTGTCCTTTCTGGAAAGTTTCTCTCATCTCAGCATCTCAGCTCCCGTGGGAACCTTCAATGCAGCAAATACAGATTTTTGTAGACCTTCAGTCTGGTTCTCGCGAGTGTGTAACGGACTAAGTTTGTTGCTTCTGAAATGAAACTTAAATGTCGTTCCACCGGCTGAAATGAACCGATCTTTAGTAGATCAGTCGCGCTCTTTCCCGCACACGGCCTGTATGTAACTCAGGCTACGTACGGGCCATAAAAAAAGTTTTACTTGATGTGGCAACCAAACCACTATAAATAAAAAAAACTGCACGGTGAAACAACAACTTTCTGGATTACAATCATAATCCTCTATAGAACGAAGCACTGAAATTGCTCAGCATTGCCAAGGAGCCAATTTCTACATTGCACACAGTCAGCGAAAACTGTTGTCTGGGCTTAAGTGGCACTTGATATTTAAAATAAAAATAAAATGAGCGAGAGACTTGTGATCTCTCTCTCTCTCTCTCTGTCAGGTCAGAACCTCTGTTCTCTTCTCCTCTACTTAGTCGCTGTCAGCTGAGAAAGCTTTTATACTGGACAGACAGCTCAGCAGGATTTTACTGTTGACTTAAATGGCTACCTGGGCTCCACCCACCTGACTCCACGCTAACCATGCACCCCCCCACCCACCTCTCACTTACTCACCCCTTTCTACTTTTTTCTTAGCTCTCCCTCTGTTTGTCACTTCTGTACAATCTCTCTCTCTCTCTCTCTCTCTCTGTCACACACACACACACAACACACTTACTGTGATTAGTTTGGGAAAGGAGCCAGAGACGGCTCTTAGTGTTGTCACATTACCCGGCTCTGCTTCATCATTTAGTCTACACACACACAGACACATACTTACTCACATAAGACACAATACAGACAACGATTCAGGTACACACACACACACACACACACACACACACACACACACACACACACTTACTTCTCTGCTGTTAGATTTGTCCATTTTGCTAATCCGCCTGTTATAGCCAGTGAAATCAGTCCCGGTGTGAGGTGTGTGTGGGGAGCCGGCCTGATGATGCAGCTGCTCACACACATACATCAGCTTTTCAACCACCCGCGGTTGTGGTGTGTGTGTGTGTGTGTGTGTGTGTGTGTGTGTGTGTGTGTGTGTGTGTGTGTGTGTGTGTGTCGTGGTATTGAGAAGTAGACCCAAGGCTCGGACTAATGACTAGTGTTGTCATCTCACCAAGTAGGATTTGTTTTATGACTCAACTGGAGAAAAGTTTTGATGAGTTAGTTGTTATGATTACGGAAGCAATGCAGGTTTGAGGACATAAAGTCTTTGACAGTGTGGGACGATGATGCACACGTGTCAGTTTAGTTTGTTTTGTACCTCAGGTGTTCATCTTTTCGTCGTTTTCACTTTTACTTTTTATTACTGGAGGCCATATTGTTTGCGGGTTGTCCGTCCGTCTGTCTGTCTGTATGTACGTCCCGTTCTCGTGGACACGATACCTCAGTGACGCCTCGACTGAGCTTCTTCACATTGGCCACAAACATTCACGAGGACTCAAGGATGAATCGATTCGATTTTGGAGGTCAAAGGTTTACCTTAAACCTGAAACTAGTCTGAGTGGCGGAGGGATACGACCACGAGGAGGTGATTCTAGTTTTAACTTCATTGCGTTTCTTTCCAGATGCTTAAATGTAGTTTTTTGTTTCATACAGTTAAGGGGATAAATCCACTTCTGAACAAAATCGACAGACGTGCCTTTATTTGAACTTTCTGTGCAGCTTGTTATGAAGCTTGTGCGGCCACACGTAGCAGCGGACGCATGTACACGACATGTGCTGAATCTTAACTTGACATGTGTCTTTATCGTTTACTGAAGTATGAATTTTAATGACCTTTTAAACGACTAACCAGCGCTGTGTTTAAAGAGACATTACATCGTAAATATGATGTAATGTAAACACGCTTGTGAGTGTGTGTACTCATTTTTTTTGCAGTTTATGTGCATCTTAGATCAAAGGAGCTAGTGGGCTGTAAGCACACACACACACACACACAAACACACACACACACACACACACACACACACACTAAGTTGCTGTAGCTTTGGGAACCATGCTGCCAGTTTAAAATATAAGCCACCATGAAGTAAATAAATGAGTAAGTGAGCATTAATATTTGTGCACATCACAGTCAAAATGTGTGTGTGTGTGTGTGTGTGTGTGTGTGTGTGTGTGTGTGTGTGTGTGTGTGTGTGTGTGTGTGTAAAAATACTTATAATTTCTGTGCCAACAAACACCTGTTATCCATGTTGTTTTATTCTCATTTATTCTTATTTGTTCTCCGTCACTAAAAACATCAGTGCCTTGTTTTTCGTTGTGCTCGCTAATAAGACGTTCTAGTTACGGAGTCAGTTGAGTGTGTTTGTGTTTATTTGTGTGTGTTCCTAGTTAGTGGTGAATTCATCATTTCCTGTCATTTTCCTGACGGTGCATTCAGAGTTCAGACGTGTTTAATATTCTTCAGTGTGCTTGTTTTTTCCCAAAAAAACCAAACAAAACGAGGAAAAAAGGAAGCAGATGGAAATCTAGAAATTTAAAAGTCACACCATGTCGTGATCATTTTGTAGTTCTTTTATTTACAACAATGAACTAACGAGCAGATCTGCATAGGGCCTTCATCAGAGCAAATGTGACATAAATAATTGTTCTCTTGTGAAGGACACATTATCTTTATTAATAAGGTGAATGCAAACAAACACAGAGGACACACACACACACACACACACACACACACACACGTACATAAAAATGATTTAGAAATAAATAAAACCACAGGGAATAAAAGAAATCTCAAAATGAAACCATGATCCTTTCCAAACTTTAACCCATGTGATTTAGTGTGTGATGCTGGTCCCGTCTTCCTACAACATAATCTGGGCAGCGTTTAGATGAACATAAACACGACTTCTAGGAGGTAGAATTGATAAGATTCATGCTTTAAAAGATCAGATGTGTAACGGTGGAAGAAGTATTGAGATGATTTACTTAAATGGTAAATAAAAAATCCTTAAAACACAGGAACAGTCACACAAACAGTCGCCCCTGTCGCTACTATTTGTGTCTCCGTTGTTCTGATTCGTTCTCGTCAGCAACGAATTCCCAAAGTACAAGTGTCATCTGAGGCTCACAGTTGTCACACCAACTGACAGATTTGTTCATCACTCGGAGCCGAGAGGAAGAAGATCAGAGGAAATAAAGAAAGAAACAGTAAAGCAAAGGGGAGAACAGTGAAGTAAACAGTGAGTGTAAACAGGGTCTATCTCTTGTGACCTCTGCGGTACGGTATGGCATAAGGGTCAAAGCTGATCAATAACTCGATGACTCTTCTCCTTGTTGTGTAAGGAAACACTATCCCACCAATCACATGATACTATACATACAGCAAGACACATTATACACAACGTGTCCCAGTGGTGCGGCACATATAAGGATGCTTGTTTAGTTTTTTATTGTGTCTCCATTAGTCTATATGTTTCAACACAGTCCCGACTTCATTTGAGGCTTTATGGGATGCTGATGTGATGGATGGTTGAAGTGTTCAGACCACTTCACTTTTTTCACGTTTTGTGCTAAAATTGTTTCAATCTACACTCTTTTAGAAAATCAGCACAGGTTCCTCCCATGTTTCTGCACCTTGATTGGAGTAAAGTCAGGTGATTGGACGTGATTTGGAAAGGCACGCACCTTTTTGCCGTGAGGAGGAAGGAGCTGCCCGTGGAGCACAGATCCCTGCGAGGTTACAAATAAGAATTTCTGCAGCACTGAAGGTTCACGGAGGCAAGTAGAAAATGCTCACAGCCGCGTGAGACGCTTGCGTGGGCCCTGCGTGGATCCTAAAGCAGGAGTTTAAACCCGGCTTAAGCAAACAGCCGAGACAGCACGGGAGTGTCCCGAGCCAGAGCCCTGACCTGAACCCAAACCAAACATCTCTAGAGAGACCTGAAAATGTCTGTCCACCGCCGGTCCCCATCCAAGCCGACAGAGCCCGAGAGGATCTGCAGAGAAGAATGACAGAAAAAATCCCCAAATCCAGGTGTGCAAAGATTGTTGCATCAGACCCGAGAGGACAAGCGGCTGTAGTCGCTGCCAAAGGTGGCGAGGCACCAAAATACTGAGGGGAGGGTCTGAATACTAATGTCAGTGTGTTGTGAAGTTTTTCCTTTTTAATAAATTTGCAAAACAAAAAATGTTGTTTTTGCTTCGTCATCATGGGATATTGAGTGAATGAATTTATGCTCTGCACATGAGGAGATGTCTGTCTCTGAACACGTGTGTGTGTGTGTGTGTGTGTGTGCGCACACACTCACCTGCAGAGACACACACGATGATCTCCTACCTGTTTACATCAGCTGTGCCGCAGGTGGAACTCCACAGGCTGCCAGTCAGTCTGCCTCCCCCAGCTGGGAGCTTTGATCCTGGGGGAGGTGGCGCTCCATGTACACACACATATAAAAGATACTTACACACACACACAGCGCCATATATATCCTCTTCTCTTCTTCTTCTTCTTCTTCTCTTATATTCTTCTTATTGTAAAATCTTTGTATCTTTTATCAGTTTTCTTTCCAGCGCGTTCATCACGTACGTGTTTGTTTATGTGTCGTGTTCACAGGCGGCGCCGAAGCCCATCGCCATGGAGCCATGCTGGGGGAGCAGAGCAGGTGTTCTGACGGTGCTGCTGTACCTGCCCAGAGTCCCATCTGGTATACCTCCACCTGGACAGTCTGGTACAACTCTCTCTCTCTCTCTCACACACACACACACACTTAAACAGCTTATAGAATGTGTTATTCCAACTTCTTTTTTAGTATTTAAGTATTTGAAGCTGCTGCTGCACATTTTGTCGTGTAGTTTCAAACTTTCTACTTCTGCAGTGTTATGTCGGGTCTTCAGGAGCTACTGGCTTTTAATTTGATGTTGGTCTGTTTTTTTTTTTTTAGCATATTAATTTATGGTGGTTTTACAGAATTAAAAACAGGCCGACAAAACACTCAAATAAAGTGGACAGGTTCAGTACTTAGAAAAAGGACAGTAAGTGAATGAATAAATTTTAAAGTATGGTAATAACAGCAGCTTCCAGGTTCAGGACTCCCATCAGTTCTCAAATTGAGGGGGGTGAGTCCGATTTCCACAATTTCAAAATGCCTCTCTTGGCAATAACCACGCCATAAACCGAGGCCGGACGTGGTGAGCAAGCGTCTCGCACTTGAGGCGAGACATCAGGAAAGATTTTGTGCAGTTTGGCTTTAGGCTGGTGAAGTCCATGAGTGACTTTGAACGGTGACGTTGGTCGGTTGACGGTTTCCTCGTGTGCTCGCCACGTTCGGTAGGACGGTTTTATGAAGGGGAGAGAAAGCGCCGCGTCGGTTCTATTTTGTGCTGATGATTTTGAACGAGCAGGTCGTGACCAGCTGCAGTAGCCGCCGCCGCCATCAGCAGACAGTGTTTATGTCCAACTGTCGGACACAGTTAACGTGACTATTTTATGTCTTAAGCGTAACAAATATCAACTCTCCTACTGTTGATTCCTCCATATTCGTTTGATTGTCACTGTTGTTGTAAACTGTCAGCTGTCTGAGCCATGAAATCCCACACTCATTAAAAAAACACAGTCCACACCATTTGTGTTGCTTTTTATGAAGTTTTCAGCAGCGTGGCGATTGTCGGAAAAAGACTCCAGATGTAGCAATCGGCGCTTCTCGTGCGCGTCTTGCGGCAGCTCCCCATCGGCCATCATGAAAAAACAGGATGTGGCAGTTTGAACAAAAGCCTCGTAAAACACAATAAAAATGTGATGGCACCATCAAAAGTGCCTCGATGTCTCCTGGCTGTCGTCATTAGACGTCTGCTGCAGGAGTGCTGTTTAAGGATACACGTTGACTCCACTCCACACGTCTTATCTCCATAGTGTCTTTGAATTCAGAGTCTGTGGATGTTGTTTCTGCAGGTCTGTGTCCAACATCACTTAGCGGAAAGGAAATGTTTGTTTTTGTTCATTTCAGTCCTCCATAAGAGTAATCAGGACGTCATCTAATTCACTGAGTCATACGGTCACTAAAGTGCACGTCTGACGTCTGGACATGTCCAGCGTCTGTGGTTTGTAGTATGCAGTATGTTGTTGGGAAATTATTCTTAGTACTGAGGTCTTGTTCTTTAAAAACATGTAGGATGCATTTGGTGACTTGATGTCTCCATGTAAACCAGGCGTGGGACACACGCACAGAGAAGTTTTTAATGCTTTATTCATTGATACCAGAGCACCCACAGTTTGAGCGGTGGGTGCTCATGCAACAAAGGTCCAGAGCTGGATTTGAACGGTGCAGGAACCTTTTAGCTCCTGGGAGACAGTTTTGTAGGAAATCCTGCAAGACTCTAAACTGTGTAAAATAAATGTGGAAAGCAGAAGCGTGACGGAAAAATTTGCAGATCAGCAGCTTTTACGATACAGTGTGTGTAGCCGATAAAACCTGTTTTTTCTCACAGCAACATAATGTTTCGTTCAGGAAAAACTCTTGACATACGGCTCCTTTTTAAAGACGGTCTGATGTGGTCAGACCCGCCTGGTTTCGCTCCAACACTTACTGTCGGATCAGTTGTTCCCATCAATGAGACATCCTGACGTTCCACAGTCCGAGCTCATGTTGCTGCTACAGACGGACGACACGCGATATCCCCCCCGGTCGCTCCGGTCGACCACCACACGGCTGAAAAGACGGCAGCAACTTCCTCACAGACCCGACACAGGCCCGGAGTGTTACGCAGCGTCAGCACAAGGCCAATCCTCTCTCCCTCCAGCTCATCTTGCACCTCGGTCGACCTCTACTCTCCCTGCTCGCACGAATACGTCTCCCAGAACTCTCTCTCTCTTTTTGCGTTTTCCTTTTCCCCTGCAGCTCTTCGGGAGACTGCTGTCAGTTTGTCTGTTGGTAGTTTTGGTCCTGATAAAGTGGACCGTATGTAACTGGAGCAGGTGTGAGAAGCCTCCGTTCCTCCAGGCAGGAAGCAAAGCCTTTACCGCAGTGAGTACCTGACAGAGGAAACGAGCAGAGCAGACGGAAAATGAAGCACTTACTCTGGAGCTCGTAGGGCGGCTTTATGTTGAGGCCTTTAAAACGTGGCAACAGCCAGTGTGGTCTAATAGAGGTGGAGGGAACAGGCAAACAGAAAGTGTCAGGGTGTGTGAGAATAAGTGCGTAAAAGATAGAAAGTGAAACCTTTGCTACCACCAGAAGAAATTATGATAATAACTTCAGTTTAGAGGTTAATGGTGACAAGTGCATTAGGAACAAATGGAGGTCCAGTAAACAGTCCAGGCCCATTGTGTGGAAATAAGGCTCAGGTAAAGCAAACCTCTACTTTCTGTTAAGCTAAATCACAAAAACAACAAGTCTGATGTTGAACTGATGCAGTTGTTTGCTGTTGCTCGGTTAAATGTTGACTCTCGGCAGACTGTGAGAAGGTCACAGGAAGTGGAGATGGTGCAAAGAACGGAGGGTTTCTTTGTTCATCTTTGGTCTTATTGTCATAGTTTATTTTATTATTTATTACCAGCTACACACTATAGTCATTATCATTATTATTAGTGGACAAGGGGTCTGACAGTCACAGGAATGAAACAAAAAAATATTTTTTACCGAATCCTTTATCATAATGAATCTTTCACCTGCAAATTAGAGGTTTGGACAATTAATGATGTGTCTACGACCTGTTGTATTCCTGCTCTGTTCTACTGTGTAGTGATGGTGCTAAGTGAGTTAAATGCCAACGACATGAACAAAGACAAAACCTGGAACATGAGTGATCTGTCTTCTCGCCCTCCTCCGCTGGTGTTGCCCCTTTTACTTCCAGAACACGACACGAAGGGAAATGCAAAAAAAAAAAAAAATGGTACAAAAGAGAAAACGAGAGACTTTTTTTTAAGAGATAAATATTTGGAAAACAAAATTTGAACAAAACAGCCCAAACCTGACCTTACCCGAACCAACGATACTACTCCGCCTCAACATTCAGCACCTGATGCTGCTTATTATTGGCAGAAGTCCAGCCGTGCAATTTAAGGTGATAAAACTGAAGATCCAATCAGTTTCAGGACATTTAAATTGTTTGAACACAGTTTTGTGTTTCAGAGTTAAACGTGTTGTTATTTCATTGGAGGTTTTTTATTTATTTTTTTCCTTCACCACCTTACTCTACCTGATGTTTTGGACATTAGCTCATCAGAGCAGAAGCAGACTCATTTTCAGGAAATTAGGGCCAATAAGAGGCTCATCAGTTCTAGTCAGGCTGCTCCCCGGGGGACGTCCAGGCTCCTCTGTTGTTGTTCTCATCAAATCAATGAAATAACTCTCGTTACCAGTGTTTGAAGCCTGAAGTGGATGCTTGTGTGTGTGTGTGTTTGCTTAGTGATCAGAGAGTTTGTCATGATCACAGTATTCACACATGCAAACACAAGAAACGAAGCACGTAAAAACACGATGTAACTTATAAAAAACACCAAGGAGAAACATAAAAGCCTTGGACAAATTGAAAAAAATAAAAAAATAAAATAAAAAAATCGCCCACCCATCATCCATCCCCAGGTCTCTCGCTCCTTCCATCCTCCCACCCTTCTGCTCCCCAGAGAGACTCGCTGCGTCGGGTCAGACAGCAGCCCTCCATTGATGTTATGCATGTATGAACGTGAAGTCACTGCAGGCTAGCTCCGCCCACCCTCAGTGGGAGACACTTCAAGAGGAATCCTCGATGAGCGAGCCTATTTTAGCTCGCCCTCCCTCACACCCTCCTCTCTTTGTTTTCTTCTTGTCCTCCTTCGCTCCGCTCCCCCGAGGTTTTACCATAAACTGACCCTTTCACATGTGAGGCCGAGATGGAGAGGAAACACCAGCGTTGGTTTTAAAAGAGGAGGGGGGAAAAAAAAGACTTCAGCAGCAGCTTTATGACTTACAGTTTTTATCAGCTGCCAGTATCCTAACACATATTCCTCTCACTCTTTTTCTTCTTCTCTCTCAGTCTGTCCTCCTCAAAACCAAGGAAGTGGATTTGTAGATCTCTCTTAACGATTAGATGGCTAGCCGGTAAAAATACCGCACATACATACATGCATCAAACGGCCCACAATTACTGTCTATGTAAGACACCAGAGGAAAGACTTGTTTCCATTGCAGGTTGATGCAAAGCGACAGAAGAACTCACTGTCTTATTTCTTAGTATCTAGTGATGAAGTTCCAACCCTCGCCTCAGAATAAAAACCACTGCTTCTTGAGGTAGAAGTGATGAAAATGCCTGCGATGTACAGTATAAGTGGAAGCTGTTTAGTCTGGCGGCAGACCCAGAACCCACTGCATGGATTTTATATCCCATCTGGCCTTGGAAAGACTTTGGGTCCCTCAGCAGGAGCTGGAGGAAGTGGCTGGGAGGACATCTGGGTTACCATTAATGGCCTGCTATCGCTGTGACTCGGATAAGTGGGTTTACGATGGATGGATGGAATCAAATACAGTGGGAGACATGACGGTGTCATCTGATTATTTAAAAGGCCAGGAACTCCCCTCCTTCGTCCCCACCGATGAACTGACGGACACCAGTGCAGCTGACGGGAAGTCTTCACTCACAGTGCTTTCCCTTTTTCTGCTGTTTTGTTTTAGCCAGGCATGAAAGTAAAACTTTAAAGGGCCAGTTGTGACGCTCTCACCACGTCTCTCGCCATCCTGCAAGACAGCACCTTTCA